AACTTGTGTCTTTGTGGGGTTAAAGCGGACAGATTTTGTCGGCCCCATACGGAGACTTGCTCCAGTGAGGTCTCGATTTCAGACACAAGTTGTGCTCTTCCTTCTACCACTTCCTGTTGGGTCATATTTGCACGGCCAGTATAAAAGGTATCACCAGTACTGTCATCCGCATAGCAATGAATGTTACTTGTCAGTAACATATCATTGATATGCAGGATAAACAGGGTTGGTGATAGCACTGACCCCTGGGGAACGCCAGCGTTGATGAGCATGGAGTCCGAGCAGAAACCGTCTAACGCAACTTTAATGCTCCGCTCGATCAAAAAACTGGCGATCCAGGTGCAAAGATGGGTACTTCCATAGTGGTCCCATTTCATTTTGAAGAAAATCATCCACCTCGAAGGGTGGCTGCTCACGAATGAAGATTCATTTTTATAAATAGCGCCTAATTTTAATTTAGGAGCAATTACTTTAATGGTTGATTTTGCTATTTCTCCAATTCAAGACGTTTTTCTCTCAATATACTTTGAGTAGTGAGAACCGATTTTTATTATCTCCAGTGTCAAGTCCTGTATAGTGGCGAACTAGGGGATATTTCAATAAAACTTAGCAAATACACGTAATTCCACGTACTTTTGAGGTCGGTTTTTTTAGTACTCTGTACTGAGATTATTATTCAATATGAAATTATATAGGCAATGCTCTTATTATATTTGTTGGATAGGGAACTGAAAGTCAGAAAGGGTCTGAAAATAATTGTAGCTCATTTTTAAGCTGTTGCTTATTTCTTCCGCCATTATACAAAGCGAAACGAAATAATGAAACACTAATTTCGAAAGAAGAATAAACAACGAATGCGTAACAATAATGACCAGTATATTTTTGCATTGGAAATAGTCATATGACATTACTTATCAGCCGCTCCTCGTATGTATTGTATGTACTTGGTACTTGGTGTAACGGGCTGGTGTCCGCAACTCGACGACAATTGTATGTATATAGTTATTATTTTATAAAAATAGGTGTTTACGCCCTTTCTTTCCCGAAGTATGAAACGGCTTGCCGGCTGACGAAAGGGGACTGACAAGCGGTGGGTTCTTTGTTTAGCCGATTATGTCACTTGTTGTTAACGACTTTACCAGACTTCTCTATTAACGAAAGCCTCGACCTGGATCCTCTGTTTGTCACTCACGTATATTTATTGTGGAGGTACAGATAACACGTTCAATACAATTTGATATCAACTCTAATGTATACCATTAGAGGTGATTTACAGAGTTGACCCGAAATGTTTTTTATAAACAGAAACTGACCTCAAAGTATTATGATAGGCTTTCCATAATACTGAATGTATATGGAAGTCCTCAATGATATAGTACTAAGTCCTCGTCAAAACGAATCATATGTACCCAAACACAAGGTAGCCGCTTGTACATTGTTAAGGAGTTCGACTCATCTGTCTGCTATTTCTATTAACTGCCACCGTGGCCGAACGGTTATCATGCTGGATTGCCACGCAGAGGTCCCGGGTTCGATTCCCGGGCCCGGATAAATATTTGTATGGCCTACATTTATTTCTCTCGTAAGTTTAGGTGTAATTTGTGGTTGTCTATCTATGTGTGTGTCCATGGCACCGGCGATATAGTGTTTCCCTAGTGTGGGGCTACGACTTTGTGCGTTATTGTTATTATTATTATTTCCATCATTAAATCAGCTCTAGGTCACCATAACATTTAACTTTTATTGAAATTACATCTATGTGCTAAGTTTCATTGAAATCGTTTGACAGAACGTGGGTGAAATTCAATAAAGCGGATTTATCTCCTAATTTGTGGAATTTAAACTTCGAATATGAATGGCAGTGGTGATGTAATTTCAATAAATTCGATAACTTTCCAAAAAAAAAATTGTAAACTAAATCGGTTGACAAATATCGGAATAATGGCGTAACATTATATACAATAAAAATACAGTCAAATTAAGGACAAAGGAATTGAGATCCTCTTTCTTTTTTGAAATCGTATAATTATTATGATTAAATTAAAAACTATATTGTACTTCGACTTTTGAAAATTCGGACTAACTTTTCAAATAACTACAAATACTTTTACCTGTATCAGAAAATCAATAATTTATATAGAATGATGAGATAAACTGCAAGACTGTTCATCAAAACATGAACATTTTGACACGAAATACATTATTTAAAAAATATTGTACGACTTGTCAATTTCGTTCTATTTCGTGAGTTCCCAGAAATAATTGATCGTGATATAATTACGTTGATAAAACAAACGTACGACTTTGGCTTGTACACAAAATGATATTAAGCTCTGTTGACAAAGGTCAAGTGGTAAGTAAAAGTATATTTACCAAGTTCTTAGGTTTGTTACACATAGGAAATGAAACTGTTTTTCCGAATTTAAATCGTGTATATTTGTTTTTTCAAACAAACCGACGTTTCGGGCCCTTTACAGGTCCCATGGTCACGGTTGACTGAGGTGGTACAGTCTTCAACCAGTTATGTCTAATATTGATGCAAACCACCTTATTTTTTCATTATAGTTACAATAGTTATTAATTAAATACCTTATTTTTAATTTTACAAAGAAAACATTCCAATTTACGCTACACAAAGTTTTACAAATTATTTATTGAATGAATTTTTATTAAGTTCAATTTATTATTAGAAATTAGAATAAACTAAAACATATTAATTAGTACTGCAGTCTTATGTCTGTTTGGGATTTTTCATTAGAGGAAATACTGGATCCCAAACTGGTGGTACGGAGAAACCATCTTCCCTGTTGAAATTACGATGTTTTTTAATTTCAATGGCCTCTCGCAGCATCCTGGGTAGATAACGACCTAGGGTTTGTAAAATTCATTGAATGTGTAGGTTTATCCGTGACATGTTCGCAGTCTGCAGATTTGTTTATGCGACGGTGTTTGACATCAGCTATATGTTCTTTGATGCGGGCCCATGGGACCTGTAAATGTCCCGAAACGTCGGTTTGTTTGAAAAAACAAATATACGCGATTTAAATCCGGAAAAATTGTTTCATTTCCTAAAAGTATATTTCCTTTGCATAATTTATGCATAATCTTGTATCTTGTCGAATATCTTTTCATTATAAGAGGATAAATCTTAAGATTGAATAAGTTAACAAAACGGTCTGGAAAATTGTAGTTAAGTTAGTGCCTAGTCATTGTTATATGTTTTCATTTAAGTGTGCTTCTGTGCAAAGTTGTATAAAAGCCAACTACTTGAGACTAATTAACTTCAATCTTAACTTCATCTCCTAAGAGTGGAAAGTACGTACTTATCTACTGTTGTTTTTCTCGGTAGAAATTTTGTAGGTAACATTTAAACTAGTTTGTTGTTATTATTGATACAAATACTGAACAAACAAAAACTACTTCATTCCTGCGTGACTCGAACCAGCGACCTGGCCATACCGGGACTATCTCTCCAAATTACGAATTTCTCTGTGTTGTTGCATTTTTCTTTGTGTTTATTAAGTCTAATAATAATAGCAAAGTGGTGGAGTATTTACACAAATAATATACGAATATCATGGTAGTAAGAACGTGATATTCAATGTAGTATATGCGGATTGTCTATGATTTGTCTCGAGCGCACACGTCACAGGATGCGGGTGTAAGGTCAGTCTATGTTCGACTGTCAGCCCGGAATCACGTGGTAGTGTGTAAGCGAGTCAAATACAATACATCATTACTTGTAGGAGCGGATACTACTTGCAATAAAATAACTAGTTATCACATCACTACATTGTGCTCATTCTACATATACGTCAACAGGGCAAGTGTTCTTGGCTTTATCAAAAGAATATAATAAAACAAACAACATGTGTTATCATATGCTTTCAAATACATTTTCCTACAATTTTTTATAGTCAGAGATAAGAAAAACTACTCTAGTTTAAGTTGTAAATATTCCGCATTTGTTCAAGCCTCCAGCAACACGTCTACTTTAATATGGAAGCTCGTAATATGTAAGTGCGTTTTGTTTTCCCAAGTCTCTTTATCTGTTCGAGTTTTTTATTCTTTCAATGTTCTTTAAATGGTTTTATCTTGTTCTCGAGTAAATGTACTTTGTTTCTATTCTGTTGCTTCTTTCACAGCTTAAGTCTTTTGTTTCCTAAGGGGAATCATACGTCAGAATTGTAGCTGTTGAAGTACAAAAATATTTATGATTATTATTGTAAATCAATTTTGAACAAATGTTTTGAAAATTTGATTTTCTATTAAAAAAACACTAGTTACTACTATTTATTAGTAAGCATAAGTTTAATTAAATTTTTATTGAATTGATATTCAATTCTTTTTTTTTTGTGAAATTACTCCACTAATTTGTTATAATTATTAATACAAAGATCGAACACTCAGAAAAAGCCTTCGAACCGGTCGGATTCGAACCGACGTCTTCTTGCATACCGTGC